CCCCAAAACCCCAAAACCCCAAAACCCCAAAACCCCTTTTTAAAGAGCTTATATTGAAAAATAAACTTCAGAAGGGAGATTAAGCAGAAATTAGAGATTCTCAATAAAGGAGGAAGGTGAAATCTTAATAGTAGTGCATTACTTGGAGAGTACTAAAATTGCATGAGCAACCTTAATGTTAAGATATCCAATGATAAGATACTCAACTTTTGTCAGAAGACTTTAAGGCCAGAAATGTTCTTTGATGTAGCCAAATGTTTACTAACGGGTTTAGTTTTATTTTGTAAAGAAACATGGAGCAAGGTGTGATAATTAAGCTTTTTTAAAGGAGTTTAACTATCATCTAACTTGTATCCCTCTAGAATCCTGCCTCAGAATTTAGAATCTAGTGATGTTATGAGAAAATGTGACTTGAATCCTGAACCTTGTGCTGAAATCACTCTAACTTTGGTTTGCATTAATATCAACCTCCATTAGCTTCTTTGCAAACCTGGCTTCACAGATGGCGTCACATGCCTGCTTGACTCTCTCTAAGGTCTTACCAGGGAACTCATACCAGACTGCATGGTAATCAACATTGGAGTATTGGTAAGTGTAGTTCAGAATTTTTTTCAGATGCTTTATTTCTCTTTTAGAGAATGTATCACTGATCTTATTCTTCATCCTTCTTGCAAGCTCTTTGAAGGAAGACTTCCATCCAATAACCTTCTTTAATGTTCTAAGTCCTTCATGACTCCTTGCTGAATCTAAATCAAGTATCTGTAGTTCAGGGAAGGACATTATATTCAAGCTTCAGAGATAATGAATAGTTCAAAAAAGTATTTTGTCTTCTTGAAGTCCCCATCTTTTCCCAGCTTTAAGAGGAGGTATCCTAAATCGGCCAAGAGATTGGAAACTATCTTGAATCAATGGGAGATGAGCCATAGACAAATCACACATGCAATAATGGTTAAAGCTGGTATAGCTCTTGTGCAAATTTTTGTAGCTTCTCTCTACTGAATTTTTACTTGAAATCCTATTCTCATTTGTATCCTGTGCGATAGACTTTGAAGGATGCACAAATATTTCAGGAAAATTAAAGTGATAGTTTTCATCTTGCTGGTAGATAGATTCTTCCAAAGGACTTGTATAAGGCGGAATGAATTTGTACTCTGACAAAGTCTGAGGCAGATCTATACCAATTCAAATTAATTCACTTTATCTCCAAAATGGGAGCCTGCCCAACAAGATGAAGAGTAGGAGGTGAAGTAGGAAATAATTAGAAGAGAGTATGGCCATCTATCTTTCAAACTGTCTTAATTTAATAAGTTTCTAATAATTCGGAAAAATTATGATTGGCGACTAAAAATAAAATTCATATTAAAAAACAGCATATGGAAAAGAACTTGCATGAGTAAATTTACAATAACTAAAGATATAGTACTCCTAATTTAAAAATCTCCTCGAAATGAGGATTCATAGACTGAGTTTATTCATAATCTCTTATATTTCTGATAATGTAGCTAAATTTCAGAGGTCTTTTTCAAGAAATTAGTTGACCTAAAGTTATTCCAAGTATGGCTTCAAACATATAAGTTATTTCTATACTATTGCACCCACAAAAGGCTTAACTATCAACCTAGCATTGTTTATTACCTAGTATGTCCAATTGGGATTTGCCATGATACTGAAAATCTGCTATTTCCTTGAGAAATCTAGACTGGTCTTCACCTGCATAAGAATCGTCCATGATTAAATTAATTATATTGAAGCATACAAACCTTCTTATATAGTTTCTGAAAGTTTCCACTTCCAGGAATCCTCTGGTAATCTAAACACTCTCCTCGATAGATCTTGAATCAAAGCGTCTGGAATCCTCAGGCTGATAAAATTTGTAATAAAAATTTCCAACTTAAGATCCATTAAAAGTTTTATATGTATCAGTGCCAAGAAGAAGAAAATGGTAAAGTACAACTCTGAATTGGAAGATGCTTGTTTGGATGAACAAACTCTAGACTTGGAAATACCAGGAAAAAGAATAGAATCATAAGCCCTCGATTTGGAGGTTTAAATCCAAGAATTGTCTACTAATTGAGAAAATTTTGTTTTAGAGTTAAGTAAAAATGCAGTTTCGGTGAACATAATGTGAAGTATATTTCTGATAAAATATACCCAACGAAGCCTTCTAAGATCTTTTAAGACAGCAAATAGTGACAAAACAAGCTGAATATTTAGATAAACAAATTTTACTTTTTTAAAGCAACTGAAATCCTTCTTTGTTTAGATTTTGTTCAACTACTTTTTACCTAAAATAAAATTCTCTTCTAAATTTTCTCGTGAATTCATAATAGTTAAGCTAATAAAATCAGAATTCAGACTCCTTGCTGCTGAGAGACCCAGAACTAGCTTGGTAAGATTAGCAATCATATAAAATAAGATCTATGTTTAGTGGCCCATTCAAAATTCTTCAAATAATGCTTAAACCAAGATTTAAGTTCGCATGAAAGCCAGCCCCAAGAACTTTAGGATAAACAGGTGTCTTACTTTTAACTCTCATTCATGATCACTGAACTATGGCAAGCCCTAATATAAAAGGAACAACATTTGAAGGAGGAATTTGTTATGAATCCTGTCCAAAATGCCCAAAGAAAGCGTCTAAACCCTTGATTAGTTTTGGACTCTGAAGACCTGTTAATTAATCTATTTTGTTCTGAAACATTTATTTGAGATCTTATTCAAGTGTCAATGGGACATTTTTTCTTAGTGAGCACTCCCTTAAATGTCAGTATTGGGGTTTCATTTATTTCAATGCATCCATTGCTTTTGGGGTTTTGGGGTTTTGGGGTTTTGGGGTTTTGGGG